AGAAGTTCAAAGTTGATGGGTATGACAGGGAGGACAAGAGAGAAAGGAACATGAAAATTTGGGGGACACCTTGATTGACAGGCTGGGTCTGTGGCTCATTCCTTGAAGCATGACCTGTGTTACCTTCCATTCTCGTCAAAAGCACATGTGCACAATTTAAATGAAAAACGGCTGTCACCACACCCAAACTGGGAAGAGTAATTTTTCAATCTCCAAAGAAGTAGGCTCTAATTCTGAGTGATGTGAGGTCCTTCAAGAGGCAAAAGCATTAAACACACTTTCACAGAGTTCAGTATAAAAACATCTGTAACATCTAATTCTGGATATGAACTGGTCATAATCTTAAGTCTTCCCCAGACTCAGGGAAAGTACCAGAAGACTGGAAAATGCAAATAAATGGCCCGTCCAAGAAAACCCAGCAATTATAGATCAGGGTCAGTTTAACATCAACAGTAGGGAAGGTCCTAGAGACAGTTAATCGAGATGTAATTAGTAGTGGCATGGAAAAAGGTGGATTGATTAAGAACAGTCAGCATGAATTTCTACAAGGAAAATGGTGTTTAACTTGCTGGAATTTTTTTTTGAAGAGTTAATGGAAAGGCTTGATAGGAGAAAAGCTGTTGAAGTATGGACTTTCAGAAAGTGTTTGATATAGTGCCACACAATAGACTTGTGGGGAAAATTAGAGGTCATGAAATAAAAGGGTTAATTGTTGGCTGAGTGAAAAGAAACAGAGTAACAGTCGATGGATAGTTTTTGGATGGGGGAAGATCTGTAGTGGAGTTCTGCAGAGGTAGTACTGGGATCCTTGCTTTTCCTGATATATATTAATGACATAGATCTTGGTTTGCAGGGGACCAGTTAAAAGTTTGCAGATGACACAAAACTTGGAAGAACTGTAAAGTGTGAGAAGGACAGTGTTGAACTCCAAAAGGACAAATAGTCAAGCTGGTGGAGTGGGCAGATAAGTTTTAGAGTTTCAATGCAGGGAAGTAAGAGGTGATGCATTTTGGTCAGAACAACACTGAAAGTCAATACAAAGTGGTAGGTACAATTCTAAAGGGACTGGAGCAGAAGGACCTTACTCTATACATGCATAGATCTCTAAGGTTTTGGAGTAGATCTGTAGCATGGTAATGAAATATCTGCAAAACAACAAACCAGCTCGGTGAGCTAGCCAACCTCAACATGCATAGATTATTGAAGATGGCAAGACAGCTGGAGAGAGTAATAAGTAAAGTATACAGTATCCTCAGCTTTATTAATAGGGACAATAGAATGAGATGATGTTGGACTTGTACAAGACTCTCATTAGACTTCAATTGGAGCATTGTGTACAGTTTTGTGTGGCACATTAAAAGAAGAATAGAATGCATTATAGCGAGTACAGAAAAAGAGGAATTCTCTCATGAGCAGGCTGCATAGAGCAGATAGAAAGAAACTGTTTCTGTTTGTAAAAGGCACAAGAATGAGAGGTCATGGAATTAAAAAGTGATGATGTGCAAAAGAATCACAGTTGATTTGAAAAAAAAATTTTCATTCAGCAAGTATACATTGCCTAAAAGTGTGGCTGGGACAGGTTCAATTGAGGAATTCAACAGCACTGGAGATTATTTTGATAAAAATAACATACGAGCACACGTGGTTAAAGCAGAAAATTGGCATTAGGTTATCACGCTTATTTGAAGAGCCAGTCCAGGCATGAAGGGCTGACTTGCTCCCTTCCCCACTGGGATTCAGTGATTCAATTAACTAATTAGTTCACAACACTTGTCTTCCTTGATACCTTTAACTCCTAGATATTTAGCATCCTATTAACAGCACCAGATACTTACACAAGATAGCTTGCGACTTATGTCTCTGCACCTAACAAAATTCTTAGGTATTAATCAAGTTAACAGAATACCGCCAAAACGAATGATATCAGGAAATACTCCTGAGTAATATTCACAATCACAGAATTGTTACAGTGCAGATATGCACTTTTCCCCATTTCTATTTTGTATGCCTCGATTAAACCTGTTCCCATCAAATCTCCATGCAGTGCATTCCATACCTTAACTACCCAATGTTTGAAAACATTTTTTCTCAAATTGTTCTTGCTTCATTTGCTTTCTTGCTCTCTTTTTTTGTTTCACAAGGGAGAACAGTTTCTCTCTACCTCCTCTGTCCAGCCTGCTTATGATTTTGAAAACCGCTATCAAATCTCCTCTGCACCTTCTCTCAAAGGAGAACAGTCCCAAATTATTCAAGTTAACCTCACAACTGAAGTTTCTCATTCCTGGAATCATTCTTGTAAATTGGCTTTACACTCTCCAATGAATCACATGCTTCCCATAACGTGGCACCTACAACTGAACACAATATTAGCCCATAGACTTCTGTCAGATTAATATTAAGGCTGATGGTGCTTGCTGTTACTTATGCTCAAGTGTTGCAATAACTTCTGGTGTGAGCAATTTCAGGGTTGAACACAGATATCTAAAGTTGGTGGATCCGAGACAACAAGGTGCAGGGCTGGATGAACACAGCAGGCCAAGCAGCATCATAGGAGCAGAGAGGCTGACGTTTCGGGCCTAGACCCTTCATCAGAAAAGGGGGAGGGGAAGGGGGTTTTGAAATAAATAGGGAGAGAGTGGGAGGCGGATAGAAGAGAGGAAACAAACAGGTCGAAGAGGCGGGGATGGAGCCAGTAAAGGTGAGTGTAGGTAGGTAGGTAGGTAGGTAGGGGAGGGGAGGGATAGGTCAGTCCAGGGAGGACGGACAGGTCAAGGGGGCAGGATGAGGTTGGTCGGTAGGAGATGGAGGTGCGGCTTGAGGTGGGAGGAGGGGCTAGGTGGGAGGAAGAACAGGTTAGGGAGGCAGGGACGAGCTGGACTGGTTTCGGATGCGGTAGGGGGAGGGGAGATTTTGAAACTTGTGAAATCCACATTGATACCATTGGGTTGAGTTGTTACTGCCTCCGAGAAGGTCGCTCTTACAGACTGGCATAGCGAGCAGGGTGTCCCGCTTGATACAACTGTCATGGAATTGCTATGAGGGTGAGTACGTTGTATTTTACGACCTGTAGGCAGAACGAGCCCGTGTCAATTGTCTCTAAGATGTGACACCCAGTTTTAAAACAACCGAATGAACTAGAGCACGAAGGCGGTGTGAGAAGCAAATTGGATGGGACGCTGGCGGACTAGCACTAGAGCAAGCTCAAATAAGAAGTAGAATGTGCTGACGGACTAGCAGCAGAGTAACCCTAATAAAAACCTCTGATGGACAGGCAGGTCGGGTATTATTTAAAGAGAAAAAAGAAAGTGAGTAATATATTTTGTGTGATGGACTCCATGGATAGATTAATTAAGGAATTCCGACTGTAGGGATGAACGGTGAGTGCTGCCTGAGAATTATTCGGGTTTGATAAAGCATAAGTCTTTTCATTAAAAGCATTTAACGTTGACATCGTTCACACTTAAATTTGTTGAATAGGATCTCAGACCTCGGTTACTCGAAACAAGTAACAAAGCTCTCAAACATCCAGACTGAGTCCAAATTAGGAGCCCAGCTGGGCCACATGACGGCCAGATAAAGTGGGCGTAGAGACCACCAGCTGGAGCAAGAAAGAGATTGAGAAGCCGAGAAATTTTAATACTCAACCAAGTTAAGGGTGCAGGTTAAACAATGGCTGCTTCAGATCCTAAACCCCTTAAATTGGGGACCAGAAGGCTCCATTTTATAGACAACATATGAAGCAAAAAAAAAACTTATTAACAAAATGACGAAAAATGGTTGGGACGGACGTCAATATGCCGCCAAGTAAAAGGCTTGGTGGCGGGAACAGGAAAATGACAAGGACCAAGCTCAGAAGGAACTGAAGTATATAACTTGTATGTAGATGGAGCGTGGAAGAAAGCAGAACCATGCACTGTATGGGCAGTAGATGGCTAAGGCCGGATAATAGCAGGAGAAAGGATAGATGGGGTGCATTCGGCACACGTAGCCGAGTTGACAGCCCTCACTAAGGCACTAGTGCTAGCGAAAGGGAAAAGAATAAACATTTATATGAATGGTAGATACACATTAGGGGTAGTGCATGATTACATGACAATATGGACGCGATGGGGATTTGTGACCTCGGCAGGCACAACACCGCATTCAGGCCCTATAGAGGCCACTAAATTCCCTAAGCAGGCAGCAGTAATAAAAATAAAAGCTCCAAGGAGAGGGGTTAGAACCCCCTCCAGGGAATAAGGGGCTTAAGTCCCCTTTGATGGGTTAGAGGCCACAGGAAATAGGGTCCTTAGTTGAGAGGCTTCTCTTCTGCAAGAGGAGAACGGGTCCCTCTTTGGTGAAGTGAAGATTAAGTTACTTCTGAGAAGGAAGTAACAGCCGGTTTGACTTTGTAAAGGAGGATGGAGTCCCCTCAGTAAAGCAGGGACTGGTAGGGTTTATAGTTCTGGAACAAAAATGGGCAATTCTTGGTTTAAACCACTTGTTCGAATTGGGGAATAACGTCTCTAGTGAAATTCTTTTTTAGGGCGGCTCAGTGGTTAGCATGGTGCCACCTCACAGCGCCAGGAACCCCGGTTCAATTCCACCCTTGGGCGACTGTTTGTGTGGAGTTTGCACACTCTCCCTGTGTCTGCGTGCGTTTCCTCTGGGCGCTCTGGTTTCCTCCAGCAGTCCAAAAATGTGCAGGCTAAGTGGATTGGCCATGCTAAATTGCCCATAGTGCTCAGGGAAGTATAGATTAGGGGGATGGGTCTGGGTGGGATGTTCTGTGAGTCAGTGTGGACTTGTTGGGTCAAAAGGCCTTTTTCCACACTGCAGGGATTCAATGATCTGATCATTAAAAGGAACTTAATTGGCATATATGGGCCTGATTTGATTAAATTTGTTGAGTGAGTAAAATGGACAAAGAACTGAAAAGCTGTTTCCACTTAATGGCATTTAATTGTGATTGCATAAAACAATTGACAAATTTTGAAAAAGAAAAAAATGAGTGAGGGAGAGAGAGATCAGCTTTTGGTGCTGTGTTCATTGAACTAAGTGTTAACTCTGGTCTGGTTTGAATGCATTCGTGTTAGTTGGTGGTTGAATGTTGTCTTGTGTAACTTTTATGTTTGTGTTTTCATTCCCTGGAGCTTGAGATCTGGGAATGTTTTGAATTTCCTTTGTATTTTGGGAATCCATGGTGATTTGGATGTGTGTCTGTGTCAGTATGGAGCATGTATGGTTAATGTAATATCCTTTTAAGGAACTATCAGTGATAGTTTCAAACAAAAATCTGTGATAAAATGTTGATTTTTAAGAATTGGATTGTAAAGCTTGGTAAAAATGTGTCTCTTGGAATGGAAAATTATCACATTTGGAATTTCATTTTCTAACCAGAGAGAACTTTCAAATATTGTTTTAACACATATGTGAATCTTTAATTCCAGATCATAAGATTTGCTCATGGTAAGTGTACTTTGATGTGAGAGAATCTAAGTAATAAGAAACTTGGAATTTTGGAAATTCTGATATGTTCTAAAATCTGAGAAAACTGAAATCAAAGAGCTTAAAAAAAAATACAATCTAACAAAGAAGATAGGCTTTTCCTCCATTAAATACAACACTTTTTTTTTTCTGTACAGGAGGAAGAGTGACAGTCGACGTAATTATGTCCAGGAGTTTTCACCCGACCCCTTAAACCACTTGAAGAGGAATGGATGGATACTTTTTGTCTTTCAGATAAGCATACAAATTTCTGAATATGCCTGCAGACGCAGTGATGGATAAGGCAGTCTCAACCTATCAAGCCATTTGTTAACAACATTTGAAGAACTTCTGTGAAAGCATTCAGGAATTTAAATATATAAGAATTGTCAGTGACTTTGGGGCTGTAAACAGAATTTTGAATTTGAATGCATTCATGTAAAGACATATCAAATATCTAGAATGAACTATAAAAAAGGAAAAAAAAAAATGGGTCATCCTGTAACAAATTAGGCCCTTATAGAAGCCTCAACTCTATCTGTAGAGGCAGTAATAAAAATTAAAGCACTTCATATAACCATTCATTATCAGAAATGCACCAAACGAGAAAACAAGCACTCCTGTACTGCTAGAAAGCAGTACCCAGATTCAAGTAGGACAATGACTGAAACCATCCATACCTAAACCAACCCCCCCGATAGCCCCACTTGTGATTGAAAATATAACCTATACACTGGGTAATGGCCTATCCCTCTTCTATCCACCTCCCACTCTCTCCCTATTTATTTCAAAACCCCCTTCCCCTCCCCCTTTTCTGATGAAGGGTCTAGGCCCGAAACGTCAGCCTCTCTGCTCCTATGATGCTGCTTGGCCTGCTGTGTTCATCCAGCCCTGCACCTTGCTGTCTCGGATTCACCAGCAGCTGCAGTTCCTACTATCTCTGATTCAATTTTAACCCCACTGCGAAGCCTCTTCTAAGGATGCCTATCCTAAAGTTGGTGGGATGGGCAGGGGGAGGACTCCTTTGTTACAGTGATAGTGTCCTGGACTCTGAACCAGGAGGCAGCCTGAGTTCAAATCCCACTTACTCCAGGAGTGTGTAACAACATCTCTGAATATGTTGACTACAAAACATCCAGAAATCTAAAGGTTGCTGACCAAACTGCACTGTTTCACACTTAGCTTCCTGTAAACAGGTCCCTGTTAATCTTCCTTTGCTGTATTTGTGGATAGACACAGAATATAGACTCTTGTCTGTCTAAGTTTAAGAAACCTTTTGAAAACATGCTAACTGATAAGTATAGACAGCTAACCTCCTTAGAATTGAAAACTAATGATTACAAATGCAGAGTTTTGTTCCTTTATGTTTTAATTGTTATTGGGTTTGTAAAAAGAAGTATCTTTATTTTGCAACGCTGATTTTAGTCTGTTTTCTTGCTCGCACTCAATCTAATCTTTCTTTCCCTCTATTTCTCTTTCTGTACCTCATATGCCATTGAATTCATCCACTCTAATTTACAATTCCTTCACAATCCCTTAATTTTACAATATTTCAATCTGATTAGTTAAGAGAAAACACGCTGCTGTTCATTTAGGTCCCTGATGCCCACTTTTCCTCATTCAGCATTATAAACATATACCTTCAATGTCTAAAAACCTGACTGTATACGAGTAACACTAATTAACAATGTTAGACACTCTACGACAATAAATCATATCTCAATATCTTGAAAATAAATCTTTGTATCCCACACCACCTGCAGCTTGCAACTAGAAGTAGCTAACATTTAATATTATTGCCAGACCTCTGTATAAAGATATTTAATACATGAATTTTCTTAACTGATTCTTTGATCAAATCTTCATACTCACCATTTCAGGAAAATTTTCTGATTTTTAGGTTATAGGGAAAGAGATTACAATCAATGAAATCAAAATGACAACTGCAGAAATACAATTACAGGTTAATAGAAAACAATTCAACAAATTTACTTTGGATACTCTCCTGACATTATTGTTATTGTTTCTCCCTAAACAAGCTGAAGCAAGATTCAGAAATATTAAGATGCCTGTAGGTTTCATTCATGGTACTGCACAGGAATCGCAATTCATTCAGCACTCTCAAATTTACCACTGCATTCTTACTTCTACTTGATTTGATGTTTTCATTGATTTTACAGCATTCACATGAGCATAGTGAATGCTCCCAACATAGTCGTATCAGAACAAGACATAATGGGATTATCAAAGTAAAATGGTAACAACTATTTGAAAAAAATTTTTCATTAGTTATTTTGTTTATTCAGGATTCTACAATCAATGCAAAGCCATTCACTAACAATGATTGCAAAAGCACACTCACAGAAAAGAAAAAAAATGTGTAGAAAGGATGTCTGCACTGGATACTAATTTTCTGATTTACCTTTAAAGCACTTCCATCATCAGAAACAGTAAGCCCCTGCTTTTTGAGCAGAGGTTTTCCATCTTTTAGCCAGCTGAGAGTTGGAGGGGGGATTGCATTACTTTGACACGTCAGCACAATACCTTGGTTGATGATGACGGAGGCATTTTGTTCTTCTCCCATGATATTTGGTGGAACTGAAAAAAAAGTTACATTACTCTTTGCATTGCATTCATACTCTTGTTATATAGTCTAGATATTAATTAATCTTCAGTATTGATCTACAGGAATAAAATGCCACACTTTTATCTTGTGCTTAATAAAACTGAGTTAAAGGCACCAAAATCAGCTGTAGAAAGAAGCTTCAGTGTATAGTATGTTGATGCATTTCTGAATAGACACCTGGCTAGCATGTTTCTAACATTAAATATTTTGCATGTTTGCAATAGGAAAGAAGTAATAAATGTTTATTCACTCAAATACTACTCTATAAATTATAAAACATCATTATTACACAAAGATGAGAAATATTGACTCGAGTGGGGTGGGTGGGACCAGAAAAAAGTGACATATGTTTCTGGATCCAACAGCATGTCTGTTTCCTATTAGTCACACAAGGACAATCATTGATCAGCAGAGATTTTAAAGCTGTTTCTCCTCGCCTTCATTGGAATGAATATCTCAAAATGCATCATTCTGAAGAGATTAAATAAAATGAAATGAACAAAATAGAAATAAAATGCATAGTCATTTTTAGAATAAATGACTTTTTTTATAGCTGTCTTGGAGAAAACTAACGTTATTGCAGATGTGGAAAACAGCATTCATCTCACTGCCTCATATGCTTCACTTATAAAAGTGCAAAATTCGAGCTTTATACTTTTCATAGCTGAATTTCAGTTAGAAAGTCTGCACACAAATTCAGAAAAACTCATTCACTCAGTTCCTCCGAAATTAAAATTATTTAGTTTGAATCATTAGATAAAACAGTAAAACAACCTAATATAGAGTCTATCCCATATAATTTGAAGAGGTGGTAATTCACGGGTTAAGGATAAGGTTGCTTGCTTTTGAGCTGTAGGTTTCAACAAATAAAATGATCACCAGACCTAATAAATCTAAGTTTTTCTTTGTCAAATCTTATTTGATAACACTCATGTAAATTACTTTGAAATGGTTTAGTAAACTAAACTTGCTATATAAATGTAAGCTATTGTTTCTGAGAATAAATATGAGACAAGCTGATTCAGCTCATGTTGTGATTCAAATCAATATTCCCTAAGACCTAATGGCCAGACAATAATCTGAAAGGCGGCCATACATAAGTCAGCCTCTTTAAATTATGTGTCTGCTTGTCAAGATAAACAATTTTGAAGAGCTATTCACACAGATAAATCACCCACACTCTCCAAGAAAAAAGGAGCCAGTGTTGCTTCAGTTTCATATTAAAGACCAATTCAAATTACACATTGATACTTTACAAATATGTTTTCCAAGCCAACATCCTTCCTGTTAATCTTTATTTTGTTTTTCCTCGTATTTTTCCCCTTTGTTTTCATATCTTTGAGGTTAATAATCACCATGACAGAAAGATAGAACATTTCTGGTACAGCAGAAAGCCATTCAGCCTGCCAAAGATTGTAATTGTAATTGCAATTGCAGATTCCTCCACAACTGGTGCTGGTAAAGGTCTGCGCTCAAAGAGCTAGAAGTACCATTTGAGTAGGATCTGCCAATGTAAGCATTTCCTTCTCAACAGAAGCAGAGCCTTTTAGTGTTACATGTTTATTAAGTAGTTTGGGCGATGAAAAATTAAAATTAAAATGGCTTGCAATAGTGGCTAATCCTGCAGTTATACTAACAAGTATTACAATTGCCACAGCCTAGTACTGATTAGATGACAATATTAAGTCCATTAAATATTTATTAGAAATAACTATCTTTTCATGGTGAAGGTTCAAAACATTCTTAAAGTATTCAAATAATGGATTCAACCAAGATATGTTAAAGGAGCCTACAAATAAATCTGTAAAACATGTTCCAGTTTTTGGTAAGAAAATACTTCCTGAAGTAAATTAATGCTTCTTTATACTGCAAGCAACTTACGTGAAGTAAAACAAAGTATCAGAAGGCTCAAAGGATAACTGCATTCTAGATTTGTTAGCAAAAATAAAGACAGCTATTGACTCAGAGTTCTAACAGCTGGCAATGCATCTCACGTTGGCCATATTAATCAATATGCTCTTCTAAGTATTATTCAGAACTGAACAAGCAAACTCTGGTTGCACTGAATGTGCTTGCTAGACATCTAAACTATAGCTGTGTGAAGCTATCAGAATTTTTTGAGATTTCAAAATATATTTACAATGACAATGGCAAGTCATGTTTTATTAGTAATCCCAAACAACTTCACCCTTTGAGGGCCTGAAATGCTGAATCAGAATACAAAAAGCATCACCAACATTTACACGTCTGCCTTCAGTATGAGTCGAAGCAGTGAAAAATTTTTCAAAAAAAAACATGCTGAATTATAAAAAGATCAAATTCTTTGTCTAAGTTATTTTCCTTTTCGAGTAAACTCATATGGCAAATGAGAGCAAAGAGAATTGTGTAGGGAGAAAACATTTTAAAATGAAATTGGCTGTCATAAATGTATCTGTTTAGCTTCAATTTCATCAAATCATACATAATAATTACAGGGGCTCAACAAGGTAGATGCAGGAAGGGTGTTTCTGCTGTCTGGGGTCTAGACCCAAGTGACAGTCTCAAATAAGGAGCAGGCCATTTAGAGCTAGATGAAGAGGAATTTCTTCACGTAAAGGTTGGAGAACCTTTGGAATTCTCTATGCAAATAGGGCCATGGAGGATCAGGCATATGCGAGGTATGTTCAGGACTGAGTTTGGTAGATAACTAGAATAACAAGTCAGTAAGGATATAGAAACAGTGCAGGAAAATAGCATTGAGGTAAAAGGTCAACCATGATCTGGTTGAATGACAGAAAAGGCTCAGGGAGTCAAATCACTTACTCTTGCTCCTATTTTCCTACATACCATTTCAAACAAAAATTATGTTTTAATTATTCAATTAACATACTACCAGTCAGCAGCACATATTAGACCATAACCATATTACATAGTGGATGATTTAAACACGTGAATCTGATATCAGGA